ACGTCGCTCTCCTGACGAGCCGAGGACACACCGACACACACCGACGCTAAACAAACGTCAGCGACGTCACAATGCGAGGTGGGGACAGGGGTGTCGCAGCAAGGCCTAGGCCAGGTACAGCAGTCAAGTCAAACGTGTCAAATAATGCTCTCTTTTCAACACCTAAAGACATGATAGGCATTTAAGAAAAAAATGTATACTAAACGTAAATGACAATTTTGTTTTCTGAATCGATCGTGTTTTACACACAACAGTTTGGTCTCGGACATATTTCCACAATTGAGGGAAAATGGTAAATTAAAAACAGGCACTGCTGTTCTGAAAACAAAATGACACAATGTTTGTCCCCACAATCATGGATTGAAATTTTACCATCGTAGTTTTCAAGTTCTTTGTAAAAGTTTGTAATGCATCACTCATGAGCTAATTTAAAATATTTTCCACTGCACGCTAGTTTTGGGCGAATTGCGTTTCCTTGATTGTGATGTTGTGTCTGTACCGTTGCGGTTGATATCGGGAAGAAAAGACTCGAAGGCAAAGAGTACAGGGGTTGGGGCGCGGCGGCTACAGGCGGCGATCCACAGAGGCATTACCGAGGGCGATGAGCGGCTAAAAGCGTGTAATATCGACTCGTTTCCAGGTGTGGAAAAGTTTATCACAAATGTTTTCTGCCTCGCACGCACCATTCAACGAGCGCTGCCTTTGTGTCCCCCGTCCCGTGTCGCTCGCGGGGCCGTCCCCCCAGCCCAGCGCAGCCCGGCCTAAGGAGACGCGTTTTGTTGGGCCTTTGACAAGTACAAAACGCTACAAGGCTCACAATGTGGCTGGCCCTATGGGCTGCGGAGCTGGCGGCAGCAGGGACCCGCGCCGCCGCGCCGCTCCCAACAACTGATTTGATATTCGCACAATGCCCCGCCCCGCCCGGCCCCGGGCTTCGGCCGCTACTGGGGAGGAGATGGAAGGGTTCCGCGGTTTCACCCCCTATCACTTCCAAACTCTTCAAAAACCCGCAAAAGAGACACGAGAGACAACATCGGCCAGCCGTACCCGACCGCAGAAGCAGCTTACATCTTACATTCCGTTTGCTGCAACAGCTCCGCGCAGCTCCGCCAACCCATTCCGCGGCTCCTGCTGTCTCTCTACCGTAGCCTCGTGGAACAATCCACGAAAAAAAAGGGTTTTTTCACTACTAGAACCTAATTTTTTTAAAAGATATAAACATGACAAAAACCTGTTCTTTTTTGCTGTAGAAAATAATTTGCTGAGAGACCTAACATTGTGATGTTGATGAGAATTAAAATCAAGGAAAACCATCAATTGGCATTCTGAACAAATGCATGCGTTGTGCCGCATAGCAATGGTGCTAACGCTTCAGTGCATGGCATGGAGAGAGGCATAATTAAGCACCAATGGGCGGAAGCATGAGCACGATAGACACCTTCAAAGATTCATAAACAATTCATTGGAACACTAATAAGTTACACTTTAGTACTTTTTGTTTTCCCACACTTTTTTGGTCGTTGTTTTGCAGTGCTAGTGCTTTCTGTACGACATACCTTCGTACCTTCTGTTTGTCACTTTCTTGACGCTCCTTTTTAACCCGTTGCGTCCGCCCGCAGGTACTACGAGACGGGCTCCATCAGGCCGCGGGCCATCGGCGGCTCCAAGCCCAGGGTGGCGACGGCGGAGGTGGTGGCCAGGATAAGCCAGTACAAGAGAGAGTGCCCCTCCATCTTCGCGTGGGAGATCCGGGACCGCCTGCTGCAGGAGTCGGTGTGCACCAACGACAACATCCCGAGCGTAAGTACCACGATGTGGCCGGCAGT